CGTCCGACATTAAACAGAGCCCGACAGAGGAGGGAGGGGCAGGGAGGCTCTGCCATGCAGCACTTCAAGAGCTGACCTGCGTCTGACCTCAAAGTGCACAAGCGTCCGACTTGAAGAGTTGGATGCGATTTTGAAGCTGAAATCGCGTTCGGTGTGAACGCAGCATTAGAATACAAGAAAACTGGTGAATGCCACAAATTCTCCTAAATCACTCGTACGCACAACTTAGGAACAAATCTGTGCGTACGAACGGTTCTTGCATGAGGCCTAATGATTCAAATCATCCTCAGGGTAGCTGTAATTTAGTCTCTTCATTTAAAAAATAAATCACAGGTTATTTGATTCTTGGTTCTAGAAAAAGACACGAGAGGCCCCCAGCCACAGAAGACAAAACTCTCCAAATCTACAAAACAAACGTGGCGTTCTCAGCGAGTGAGGCCGGCTCCGTTCCAGGAGCCCAGAGAGGACACAAAAGAGAGTCGTCCTCCCTTTGCTCTGTACGGATCGGGGGAGAGGGACGCAGACATCGCCAGCAGAAAGACTCACAACGTTGGCCCTGCAGCTTCCACCTGTGAGGTAATCTCTTCGCTCCTGCTTCTACAAATCAGCTCCACGAGCCAGACCTGAGCGTTAACGTCTGTTTCACCGRTAGATTCACGAATCGGCTCTGAGGGCCAAGACCAGGCGAGAGGTGGAGCGTCAGGTCCAGACCCAGAGGTCCGAGCGGAGGAGAGCCAAGTCTGCTGATCCGGGCAAATCCAGGAAGCTGGTTCCTGCGGACTTTAACCCCTGGCTCACCGAATACATGCGCTGCTTCTCCGCTCGCGCCCGATAGTGACGGGTGCAGCTCATCGGGACCATCGAAGCCATTATTGACTCCAAACTCTGAAGTGGACACAGCTGCAGGTGTGGATTCACAGAACAGGGCCTCAGTGTGCAGTTTTTATCTTTCACACAACCAGGATGCAAACCAACACAACCTTTAACACCTGCTGCGCAGCTCATCACGTTCTTCTACGAGTCCGTTTCAGTTCAGAACGAACAGAAAGGGATTTTATAGGAGGAAGAAAAGAACGTTTCTAGTAAAACTGTGGTTACTGCAAATTAGGTCCAACACAGGGTTTAACTGAGAATAAACGTTCAAAATGATTSTTACAGCTGTACTGTGATGCCATTCCTTTAACACATTCCATGCATCTATAGATGTAAACAGAAACAACACTACAATTACTCTGAAACTTACTTTAGTTTAATTATTTAGAAGCCTTTCAGATTTAAATGTATTTAGATTTTTTTCCCCATAGATTTCTAATATAGGCATTTATCAACATACAGAAATAAGTCTTAAGGTTTTAGAGCTTTGTGTTTATGATGTGAGCTGCAGTCTGGTTCTGTTTTGTGATGGATCGCTTTAAATAGACTAGTGTCGCTCGTGTTGTGATGGTTTTATTTCCAATAAGCTTCTGAACAATGTGAAATGTTTTTAATTGAATATTTTCCACTCAATCAGGTGCCACTGAGATCTGTTAAAGCCTGCCGACGGGGTGCTTCTGTAGTGATGTGGCTACAGCTGCTTTTATTTCTCGTATTTAGTCATTAGGAGTCATTTTCTACTTAGATATTAAAAATAAAGTTCAAATAATGCAGTCTTTTTTAAAAAGCATAGCAGAGTTTAAATATTCAGGCCAAATGTTTTCTTATTCCTGTTACTGAATGTATTTCAGACCCCAAAGAGAAAAATAAAAATAATTCTGATTATTTGCTCTATTTAAAGCACTTGAACAAAATAGTTATATAGCTAATATCAGGATTTTATTTTGTTTGAATCATTTGTGTTTAAATATTTAACATAAAAATTTATTTGAAATACTTTTAATGCATAAGATGGATTTTTTTTGTAACAGAATAAGCAGGGAAAAATTAGGTCTGCTATAAATAATAATGATAAACCAGCTAAGTGCCATAAATACTTAGAAAGATGTGTTTTTCTGTATTTTTGATGTGATTATTGTAATTTGTTAAAAAGCAGCTCAGAGTTTTGAAAACGTTTTACATTTTGGCAACATTTTTCAGTATTACCTTTTTTTTACTTTCACTTTGTAAAGATTTAGYTTTGAAGTGATGGGATGTGTTAATGTAAGAAGTAAAACTAAATAGTTTTAAACAGACAATCTCAGCAAAGGAAAAATAAAGAAAGATAATTTGTAATTCTTCAGTAGTTTGTCAATAAAATTGTTACAGTTGAGCTAATTATAATGTAGAGACGGTTTATTTTTGTGGAGAATGTTCTGTTCACTGAGCCTAAATGTTTCTGTAGATCAGGACGATATCTGACTTTTCTGTTTCTATGCTTTTAACACTGTAAAATATATATTTAAATTACACAGACAACAGTTGAATGGTGTGCCACAAAGCTTTAATAAAGGATTTTTCCACTTGTAGCCTGTTTTGATTAAATATTTCCTCATGTTTTATAGGCCTTTATTATTAAACACAACATTATAAAGAGTCCATTAAGAGTTCATCATCAACTTCTGGGACAAATCTTATCAGTTTAGTTTTATTCCACAATTATTTGGTTTCTTTTTTTCCCCTGACTACTTTTATTAAAGTTGACCTGTGTTTCTCAATAACCATAAAATTTGGAGCATTTCTTTGCCACGGGTTCCAAATTTAACTGTCAGGATCTTTGAGACACTTTGCTGTCAAATAATTCTTTACATGGTGCTCCAAGAAATGGATTATCAAATTCTGGAAGATGTCTCAGATGTCCCAAACCATCCTCCTGATGAACTTCCTCTTGACATCTTACTTGCGCTTCGTGTTACTTTGACCAGGTAACACGTCAAACTCAAGATATGTGGGTCAAATGTGGCCTCTGACAGATCCATTGATGTACACTGCTCAAGAATAAATGARTAAATAAAGGGAACACTCAAATAACCCATCCTAGATCTGAATGAATGAAATATTCTCATGTAATACTTTGTTCTGTACGAAGCTGAATGTGCTGACAGAATGTGAAATTGTCAATCAGTGTTGCTTCCTAAGTGGACAGTTTGATTTCACAGAAGTTTGATTTACTTGAAGTTAGATTGCCTTTTTTAAGTGTTCCCTTTTTTTTTTTTAGCAGTATTTAAAAGCGTATGCCGCTTCAAAGCCAGCACTAAGCATAAGCTACATCTCCCATAATGCATGTAAAATATTTTACCCACAAACTGATGACATCCCACCACTATTCTGGAGGTGCACGGGGTACAAAAGCAGCCAGTAGCTGGCAAAATTCACTGTGTAAAATGTCCATTTTGCTGCATTTTTGCCAGCTGCTTTTGCTGGGAAGTGGGAATTTCCCACCTACAAGTTGTAAATGTAAACTGTAACACTACTTTAGGAGCCATAATTAATGTTGTTGTTGTTTATTTGTTTTCTGGTGGCACGTGTTTTGATTAGTCCTGCACCTTCAGGTAAAAGATATAAGGGGCGTGGCTGCAGGCACTTAGAGGTGAAGCTCGTGGCTGGGTGAGTTTTTTGGGGAAAACTTTTTGTTGACCTGTCGTCGTCATTATGGTCTTAGTGTTATCTTTTTGTAATTATAACTCAACCGATGTCCGTACACTTTAAAAAAATTATTTTAAATTAAATGCATAAAACTCTAGCGAACTCATGGATTGCCTTTTTTGGAGACGCGTCACGGAACAAAAACTTCTCAGCTGGCAGCGGCTTTTTTGTGGATCGAAGYCGCTACAGCTACTCTAGTGGGAATTCCTTGTTGGAAAGTGGGAGAGTCCAGAATTCAAGATGGCAGCTACTCACCACAACTCAGTGGTGAGTAAAACTCTTACTTTTAACAGCATTTCTGTATTATTTCACATTTAGTCAGTTGTACTCATAGTACTTTTCAGTGTTTATAAGTGAACGCGTTAAAACACTGTTTCTATGCAGGAAATACCACGTAGAACTCAGTTATTGTTTATTAGCTGTGCTCAGTTGTAGCAATGAGACGAGGAACGTGATGTTTTCTGTTTAGTTGAACTTAAACACAAAATGTTGATTAYGTTAATTACAACTGGCCCCTAAAAAAACAAGTTTGACGACCCTGAAATCAATGAACAAACACCCACTGACTTATAATTGTTTTTATTTCAAAAACATTTGTCTTTTCTCATAAACAATAAATTAAAAATCTATGATATTCATAAATGACAAGTGCATAAAACAGACRCATAAAAAAGAACACGAGACGACAGCCGGTGTGAAACAAATAAAGCCACGATCAGATTTGAAACGATTTCTTGATGTGAAACATTTCTTTAGTTTATAGTCGACTGATGTAAAAGTAATGATGAAAACTGAAAAAAAAAAAGAGTAAAATGACAAAACAAAGAAAGCGTACATCAGATAAATCTCTAAACCTGAAATATRATTGGTTAGTATCAGCCAGGGCTGGAAACAATCAGTCATGTAAGCAGGCTGCAGTTAGAAGTTAGAGATCAATCAGTTCTCAGATTCCTTTGGGTACAGAGGTGTGTGTACGCTGTCCGATAACACACACCGAGCCGATCCGTTTACAAACGGCACTGCCCGGTTTTTCAAGTACCCGGCGCGTCGCAGCTCACACAGCGGAGCAGGAGAAAAAAAACTGCAGAACATGAAATCTACTTTAATACACACGTAATACGTCCTCGTGGTGAGATACTCTGATATAAAGCATGCGTCAGTCTCTATTTACAGATACTCTGTACAGTGAAGYGTAAGGAGGGGGCGGAGCTTCTAATGCAGGGTTAATGGCGGAGTGGGTTCGCAGGTAGACTGGTGGTGCTTCAATTAGAAAGGAGACAGGTTAAGTAGTTTTTTTTACAGCAGCTGGATGGTAAAAAAAGAAACTAAGAAAGGAACAGGTGAGTACAGTCAGTAAAGGTTCAAGAATCTGGGGAAATTTGCATGCCGAGAGTCGGACGACAGATTCATTCCCGTTGCCTTTGTGCATTCACAGTTAAGCTGGGGGCGGGAATTTGATTTATTTTAAGCCTAAAAAGGCTTTTTTTCTTTAAAATGTCTCAATCTAAAATCTCTAAAATCTACCTGACACCTTTAAAACAGACTTAAATCTTCTTTTTTCATAGACTAGTCAAATGGAAATTCTTCCTGCGAGGCAGACTGGGGCAGTACGGTCCAGATAAAACTGGGGACATTCATGCCAGTGTTAAATAAACATCCTGGGTGGATGGCTGAGCTGAGTCAGGGACAGTTTGGTCCAATGCAGCAGAAGACCTTTGGAGGATTTTTTTTGTGGGGGGGGGGCTACCATGGAGATCTCGCGACAGGGCGGGGTCAGGAGGTCTTCTGGGCTCTCTGCACATGCAGAAATGGGAACTCTGAAGGGTCCGTGCGAAGGTCAGGGAGGGTGGGGGTCACCAGCACAGCAACCTGAACCCAACACTGTTAGGTCCTCCATGGCTGTTTGTCTTCTGGTCTTCACAAACCTGTCTCCACCATTCACACACAGACACAAAACAAAACAGTTAAATGTGGACATATTAAGCTTTTAAATCCTTACTTTCCACATTTAAGTGGAACTGCAATGCTTTGGTCTGAATTCCTCCTTATTGTAACTCCACAAGCCCCTCTTTCACCCCTTTTTCTGAGATACGTCTCAGATCAACTCGTTTTGAGGCTGTCTCTTTAAATTCAAAYGAGGCSCCCACCTCCCAGACATGTTTCCTTTAAATCACAGAGTCGCTTTCAGAAATAAAATCACCAAATCATGGTCAACTAACTGCCCAGGTCCATCTTATTTCTTTGTTTTATTAACATTAAATCACTTCATAGACTATCTTAGACAGAAAGAGAGGTGTTGTTCTTTTTTAATATTCTAAAAGTGAATTTTCTGAAGGTTTACATGAGGCTTTCTGCACAGCAAACACAGTTCTGAGCMGCACCAACCAGCCGTCACTAAACATTAATGAAGTTCTTATAAAATATGCACGCAGGAAGTTGTTTTCTTTCACCTTGATTGTGTGCGAGGTCCACTAGCAGCCGCACTCCTGCGTGCCCTGCGGCTGAGYGCGACGAGGAGAACGAAGCTGCCGTAACGCAGCGTCGCCGTACTGGATACCCGACCCCATCCTCTCTGGGTCCAACTCCCCTRAGGGACGAAACAAATCAGTAAACAAGCGACTCTCCCTAAATGAATCACAGAAACCAAAAACTCTCTCTGCCACATCCTTTTTTTTAAAACTCTCGTTTCCTACTTTTCTAACTGCAGGTCAGCTCGGTGGAGGTGGGGTTTCCTGGACTTTGGTACAAAGGTTTAAGGACTACAGTTTGGAGCTCCTACCTGATTCAATCTTGTTGAGGATTTTGCGAGCGCACTGGACAAAGGCCTCCTCGACGTTCTCCCCCGTGAGAGCGCTCGTCTCCAGGAACATCAGCTCTAAAATCACACCATCTCCGGTTAGATCAGCAGCTACAAACGCTGCGGGATGTTTTAACCAGCGCGCAACAAACGTGATCACTAGCTGAAAACACGACAGTTTATTCCTCCAACAATCTGCGGATGTTTGAGACGACAAAATAAGTTTATTTTAATGATACGGAGGCTGATGTTACCGTTTTCCTGAGCGAACCGTGACGCCTCCAGGAACGTGACCTCTCTGTCCGCATCCAGGTCCTTCTTGTTCCCGCAGAGGATGATGACGATGTTTTGACTGGCCAGCATCCTGGCGTCACTCAGCCACGTGGTCAGAGCGTTGTAGGTTTCTCGACTGAAACCRGAGATAAGAAAAAAAAAGTTAAAAAGGATTTTCGATAAAACAACAACAAAAAAAAAAGAACACTGAGTTTGGATCGGAGTCACTCTCTGTGATACCTGGTGATGTCATAGACCAGCAGGGCTCCTGCTGCTCCTCTGTAGTAACTCCTGGTCACAGACCTGCACACGTCAACACAGACAACTAGAAGACTTAGATGTAAACAAACGAAGATTTTCAAAACAAAACTTCGAACGCTACGATGAGTTTTACAAATGAACATATTTCTGATGGGATTCCTCTCTACCTGAAGCGTTCTTGTCCTGCAGTGTCCCAGATTTGCAGTTTGACCATTTTGTTGACCACGCTGATGATCTTGGAGCCAAACTCCACACCGATCGTGTGATTAGATTCATCCTTAACTAGAGATGAAAAAAAAAAGGCTTAATGAGGTGTTTGTAATGGATTAATAGCATGGATGTGGTCCAAAGTGTCTTTCGATAGATGACTGACAGTGATAATATTTGCCTATTATTTCTACACAAATGTAATAACTGCTTTATCTTACAACTTACATCTCTTCTCTATGAACTGGTGCAGCAAACAAGATTTGCCTGTTCCAGCGTTCCCAATCACCAGGAATTTAAACAGGAAATCTGCAGAGAAAGCGATAAAACAGCATTACATGGAGGCAACATGAGGTTTGTCTCGCTGATGTCAGTCTAGAARTCTCATTAGATATAAGATTTATTTGTAATTATGTTTCTAGAGCATAAAATTGTCATGTTGCACTCTAAGTAAATAATAAATAAAATAAATAAATTGGTAAAATAATAAAGCTTATATATACAGTATCATCTAGGTAGATCTAATAAAAAATGGGTTATGAAAGTTTTAAACTAGGTTTGTGTCACACATAACAGAAAATACGTTAATGAAACAAACACATACAGTGATGTTGGTCACAGATATCATATTTCTGTATTTCTTGTGTAAACATTTTTAAAAAGCACATTAAACAYTTCAGGATGAACGGGTTTATCCACATATATCTCACACTGACACAAGTGTAGGTGGACCTGCCTGCAGAGCTATGCTAATGTAAAATAGTCAAATTAGGACAACACAAAACATAGTTAAATGAGGGTTTTAYAGATGAGTCTCAGGTTAAAGCCAGCTCTGTCTCCTCTGATAACTCTAATTAACCTTTAAATGTCGGCACATATCGTGTAAAATACATGAATAAACCTGACAGTGTGATCTCTGTGGACTCATGCACGCTGACAGCTCAGTTTTATGGTCAGAAACCCTGGCCGGTGGCTCAGAGTTAGCCTGCCAGCTATCTGTTTACGATGAGAAAAGAAGCCCTTCTGTCCTCTCGGCACACCTGCCTCCCCGGTCCGCCCGGACAACACCGACATGCTAACGGTCACCGCTCGGTCACACATTACCGTAAGACTCCGACATCGCGGCGCTTCAACACCAAAACGATGGGAGAGAGAGAGAGAGAGAGCGAGAAACACGCGCTGACAGATGTGCAGCAAGCTAAAGACAGAAGAGATCAGCCCTGTTGATGTCGGTGGATTCCAGCTGATTTCCACTTCCGACTTCCCCCAGCACGCTGCTGGCTTTCAAAATAAAAGCCTTCCGAGACCAATCACTGATGTAGTGAAATAATTTGGCCACAGGGAGACCCTGTTCAGCTAAAAATAATAAATATATATCATGCATGGATTATTGTTTTTTTTTCCATATTTATATATGGAAAAACTTTTAGATACTGAGTGGATAAGTGATAACTATTACTTCTCCCCAGGAAAAAAAAGGTACTTGTAAATTTGATCAATAATTATTTAAATACTGAGTAATTTGACAACTTTGGAAGCCCATTTCCGCCACCCTGATAAAAAATTAATAAAACTTGTATCTCATAATTATGACTTAGCTATCTCATAATTATGACTTAGCTATCTCATAATTATGACTTAGCTATCTCATAATTATGACTTAGCTATCTCATGAGATAGCTAGTCATAATTATGAGATACAAGTTTTATTTTTTTATCAGGGTGGCGGAAATGGGCTTCCACAGACGACGACGACGACGACGACGACGACAACAACAACAACAACAACAACAACAACGACAACAACAACGACAACGACAACGACAACAACAACAACAACAACAACAACAACAACAATCACCATTATGTATTATCTATTATGGAAAATACAAAACTGATAAGATTTCTATAATAAACGTAGCACAAAAAGTTAGTAAATTTGTGTTGGTAGATTATTTATTTATTGTAACAATGCTTCTTGGCAATAAATCTTATACTGTTGGAAATTCCAGTAATTTCACTTTTAAAATGTACTATCTGTAAGGAACAGGCATTTGTGGGAAAAGCAGTAGAGCTGAGTTTTTGTACATAAAATTTGCCAAATTTTCTCTGCCAAACAGCAAAATTTGCAATTACCACTTGTTTTGAGCTTCTGGTACCACCAGGTGCTGCCAGTCAGGTGTCAAACATAAGATTCATCGCCAATAAGCAATTTTTTTTTTTTTTTTTTTTTTTTTTTTTTTTTACAACTAAGAAATAATCTATCAAACAAAAATTTCCTTACCTTTCGTGTACGGTGTACTCACACTGGTTGGCCAAAAGACGGCAGTGGATAAAGTTAATTAAAGTGTCCAATGTAGATTTTACCACTCCGAATGAAATACTGAAGATTAAGTGTACATTGTTTTGAAATAAATATTAAATGTATCATAACACTTGATTTTTATTTGTAGAATTTAAACAATTTTGCCAAATCAAAGGTATCTTGCTCAAGTAAGTCCATCGCTGTAGTCCAGCAGGGGGCGCTACACTAAACTTTGCTCAGCAGCAACAAAACTCTGCCACAGAAGAAGAAACGCAGATTCGGCTAGTGAGCTAGCCTAGCCCCAAGGCGATATTTTAGTGAAAAATGGCTACTGTGCTCCCCATCAGACCGCCTTGCGATAGTAATCCTGCTACTCCAGGAGCACAGTCTATAAAGGTGACATTTACGTTTCTTAAGTCATGTATAGGTTTGTTTCTGGCTATCCAGCGGTAACCTCCCTCCAGACTGACTGAAGCTACATTAGCATAATTCCTTTGTTGTCAACCGCTTGATTAGTTAACTTGTTCGGTTTTATTGTAAGTCCTCTCATGTGTGTCGTTTTACTGGTGCAGGCACGAAACGGGCTTTAACTATGTTACACAGTAAATTTGTTATTTCTCTGTCCTCTCCCTTTTATGTTAAAATGACTAATACTTTTGTTTATAAAACAACAAGGCGTATAAATGGTGTTAAAATGGATGTCTACTAATATTAATAAGGATATTTTCTGCCTTCGAAAATAGCTATCTCATCTCAGGTGTATCTGCTATAAAATTAATTGTGTGGATTAATAATTTCACATATGAGAAGGGATGTTGAAGTCATGATGTCTTTTAGTGTTAATTCTTATAAATATACTTAATGTTAAATTTTGGGGATTTTATTTCATTTTGTACAAAAATTAATTCATAAAGGAAGCATTCATTAGTCTTCAGTGAAAAAAAAACACTATCCTGTGTTTGCCAAAAATGTGATCTGGTTGAGAAACGCATAACCTCCTGGTTATAAAAAGTTTATACTTAATTTGGAATTTGTTATTTGCTGCTTGTCTTTAGGAAGATGTAATAGAAGAAATGTCCAACGATGGCAGCCAGCCTCCTAAAAGGAGGAGAATGGGTTCAGGAGACAGCTCTAGAAGCTGTGACACCTTCACTCAAGAGCTTGGGTAGGTTAGCTGGATACTTTGTGCAATAAATCGTCTCTGCCCTCATATTTTACCTAGTATTGTACCACCAAATCGTACAGTTTTCAAACAGTTTAACTGTGCTGTCTTTCCACTATTTCTAGGCCAACATATTTCCCTGCAGAAAACCTGACAGAATATAAGTGGCCGCCTGATGAAACAGGAGAGTATTACATGCTGCAGGAGCAGGTCAGCGAGTATCTGGGAGTCACATCGTTCAAGAGGAAGTATCCTGGTAAGAATGAGGAAATTCTTGCACTAAAACTTAATGACTAAATGCAAATTGGAGTAGACCTAAATGTTTTAGTTGAATTTCTGCCATTATCTGTTTGTTTTGTTTTGTGTGTGAAAAACTACCACAATTTATTTATCTTGACTTTTTTTCCTTTGCAGATATGGAAAGAAGAGACTTGTCCCACAAAGAGAAGCTCTACCTTCGTGAGCAGAATGTCATTACAGAGACACAGTGCACCCTGGGTACAAATAAATTCAGAAACTCACTCTAAGTCATAAAATTTTACCATACTTACACAAGTTTCTTTTTGGTTCTGTCTTCAGGTCTGACGGCTCTGCGGAGCGATGAAGTGATAGATCTGATGATAAAGGAGTATCCCTCCAAACATTCAGAGTATTCCGTCATACTGCAGGAAAGAGAGCGGCAGCGAATAGCTAAAGAGTACTCTGTAAGTACAGCCAGCCAAAATGTCTTGTGTTAATGTTAGTAGAAACAACAGAAACGAACCACTTCTTTACATTTTTTTGTTTGTTTGTTTTTCTGTTGTAGCAAATGCAGCAGCAGAATCCTCAGAAGGTGGAGGCCAGCAAGGTTCCTGAATACATAAAGGAGGCAGCAAAGAAAGCTGCAGAGTTCAACAGTAACTTCAACAGGGAGCGTATGGAGGAGAGGAGAGCTTACTTTGACCTGCAGACGCACGTAAATTCAACTTTAAATGACAATTAATTTCACATTGAAGCAACAACACAGAGCTGAATGTGTATTTAGTTATATTTCAGATTTTATGTTTTTTTCTTTTTATTTGTCCCAGATTATCCAGGTACCACAAGGCAGATTCAAGGTGTTGGCTCCAGAACTAACCAGAACTGGGCCTTACCCTGTGGCTCTCATACCAGGACAGTTCCAAGATTACTACAAAAGGTACAGTTACCACACARAAATAATAATCTGCATATTTTTCACTTGATTTTCATTTAGCAWAACCAACTTTCCTGACTCAAAAAGACATCTAGATATTTGTATTATCTTTTGTTGTGCAGCTCTTTCCTCTGATATGTTATTGTTTTGTTCATGGCAGGTACTCTCCCAATGAGCTGCGCTATTTGCCTCTGAACACGGCGCTGTTTGAGCCTCCACTGGATCCAGAKCTCCCTGCTCTGGACTCAGAGCCGGACTCAGACGACGCTGAGGAGGKCAAGGATGACAAGAAGATCAAGAACTCATCTGTAAGGCAGCGGTCAGCGTGCAGCTGTAGGGAAATGAATGATGTGTTTACAAGACCTGCACATATGCATACATTTCTGTATTTATCTACAGGACAGCTCTTCAGGTAACGCCTCGGACATAGAGAGCCAGGAGGGAGGAGGAGGAGGAGGAGGAGGACAGGGCCACAAGTCCAAAGTTAAAGACAGGACATCGACGCCCAGCAAAGACCAGCGCCACGCTGCCTCCCACAAAACCACTCCAGGGTACAAGGTAGAGGACAAAACCACCTGAACTCTTCTCCAACAGCAGCAGCAGCAGCACTTTTCTACCCACTCCTACTCTCTCTGCTACTACCACTTCCTTATTCCATCCATTCCCGCCACCCCTCCCTAAGCTCTCTTCACTTTGTTGTCGGGCCTCTGCAGCCTTTTCCAGCTGGGACATCCTGACTCCCTCAGACACACACTGGGGAGGCCTGCCCTCAGTTCGTTTGATTTGACGATTGTCATGTGCCGCTTTTTTTTTTTTGCTCCCCCGTTTTGTACAAAATTGTGAGCAATAAGAAGATTTTAAAGGAACAGTTCCCTTGTTTCTTTTTTCACTGCACTTTTACTTTTTTTTTGGTTTTCAGTGAAGACGAATTTGATCTTTTTAGATTTTTCTCCTTTTGATTGTCTTCAATATACCTCTTGTCTGTCCTCACTTGTCCAAAAAATATTTTGATGACAAGTATGTGGATGTTTTGGCTGCTAGTTTTTTCCCTTTTCAATTTTGAAAAGAAAAGTTTTGTTCGTATGATATAGAAAACATGAACCACATGAAATGTGTGGTTGGTATTTACTGTTGTTAGCTCTAAAGACATTATATATAAATAAATGACGTTTAGAGGACGCTTGATCCTGATGATTTAAATGAGACCCCGACTAATAAGACGTTATAGACTTCGAATGTTATAATTGCCATATTTTATTTAAAACACTCAACAAAAACATACAATATATACTTTTTTGTAGAATACATTAGTACATATTTTTAGGCCATCTTTGCTGTGTGTGTGCAATGCATTCTGAGTCAATGATGACGTAAAATGACCACTCGACTCTCACAGATTCAGTAACGTTACAACTTTTATCCTCCTACAGTAAATATATTCAGAGCTACATACAGGTTTCTGTACTTTTTGGTCATTTGTTTTTCATTTTAAAAACAGAWATTGAAAAATGAAAAATAGATGGTTCTTCTATTTTCACTTTATACTTCAAAAGCAGAAAAACAGTCCTTCGTTTTATCTCTTGGAGAAAGACTTCATGTGYTTAAAGCAGCAGAAGCTCCMGGAAACAGTTTGAACCATCAGTGATAAAAGAAAAACAGCTGACAGCTGTTAAAGAAATGYCAAACAACTTAGTGTTTATTTATCACGGCTGCCTGGTTAGCTACGTAGTTATAAAGTAAGACGTGTTTATTCATCCCACCATCAGACCATTAAAAGTGGAGCTAGATAAATAGTTTTTAACATAAATTAGCTAGACTATTATATTACTATAGAAAATACAGTCTGCAGTTAGTTAAAGAAATGCAAAAAATAATTAGCTAGTGTTTGTTTATTAAGTTATTTACAGGGCTTTTATTAAAAATTTGTTTCACTTGCTCCACCTGATAACGAGTATTAAATTTCCAGTTAGAGAAAAATAAAACGATGGAACATTTTTCTGTTTATTGGAGTAAAAMAGGAAATAGRATATCCATCCATTTTTCARWATCTGTTTTTAAAATGAAAAYGAATTAGCAAAATGTACACRGACCCATCCAGTTGTTTCTTACAGTCAAAAWAAATCAAATCTTCACAGCATTTCTAGAAAACAAAAATAGCAAGAGCTTCCTAAATTCCTTCTTGTGTTCTTTACTTGTCTTTTCAGTTTTTTTGTTCAATCCTTTTGTCAAATAAGAGGAAACAAAGTCACTCAGGGGGTTGTTTTCTATAAAAGGGTCTGTTAAGAAAATGTGTTTTTAAACTGCGTCTCATTTTTGAGTTCCAGCAGACTGAAGATCCARTCCAACTTTATTATTTGTRAAGCACTTTAAYTACCACAGCAGACCMAAGTGCTGTACAGAAGCAACATTTAAACACAGCTCATTTATTAAAACTTCAATCAAAAAACACAGGTGAGATGAAAACAATAAGATCACATGTTGTCTTCACTGTCTGTAGATATATATATCAGTGATATATCAAACTTAAGAACTTTACAAGTGCAGACGATAACTAGATGGGCTGTTTTGAATAAAAGACTTTGGTCCATTTTCTTCTTCTCGCCTCTCTAATCTGAGTCTTTGTGAACCTTCAGCTCTTATTCTGCCCAAACTGAGACTTAAACTTATCCTGCAGCAGTCCTGAGCTCTTAGCTGCCATTTTACGTCAGTGAAACACATAATGCATTACAACGAATAGAATAATGGAAGAGTATGAGTAAAATATTTTTCTCATGATATTTGTCAAGTTTTAACATTAAAGATCTTTACAGCCAATTCTTAGTGTTAATCTGTTAAGACAGAAAAGTCATATTAGTCGGAGTTCCATTTACTGTTGTTTTTGATATAATAACACCTTGTTTATACGATGTTTTGTTAACATGTTAACAAGTGTCAGACAGCTGCTTGGAATGGACGTCACATGACCAGAGTGTTTTTTGACCTTGTTCACACTGTCGCCGAGCTGAGCTGCAGCCAGTRTTCTGATTGGGCCACATGAGTTTCATCTGACACACACACAAATGAAATATCTGAAGTTTTAATGCTAAAATGAAATGCTTTAGGCACCGTTAGCTCAGGCCACTGCACACGTTGTCTTTACTCTTTCAGAACACAAAGTTTGCATCCTCTAATGCTGGTAAATTACAGTAAAAAGGAGTATTTTGGACCTGAATACGTCCATTTAATTTGAGCTCAGCGTTGTAGTGTGGGGACGGTCCTTTTCTAGCATCTGAACTTAAAATGGACAGTTTCAGCTCATCGTTTTGTACAACCTGTTCAAACAAATGTCTCTAGAATAACATCACTCAAACTCAGCTGAGTTTAATGGGAGGCAGATGTTTTAACTTTTTTAAGTATGGACAGTAATCACTGGATTTTTTAAAAGCAGCTCTAAAAGTGTGGAGCTGCAAAGTTACACCWGAGCTGATCCAGTAGATGATCCGGCAAAGGTTTTATTCAGTTTAACTGGCTGCTAACTAAAAGATTATTCTGATTAATTTGCCCTGATCTGGTTCAGTGGAGATGCTGACCTCCAGATTGGTCCCTAAAGCTTTAGAGCAGTACAAGACTTTACAAATTGTTTCAGGATAACAAATGAATAATGTTCACTAAAGAAGGGATTGGTTTAACTTAAATATGTCTTGATGTGATACATGTCATTGTATCTAAATTGCACCATGACGTTTAATCCAGCTGTGAATGAGTGTGTATATTCAGCTAGTATATCGTTATAAAGGATGCCTCTTGTAAGAGCAACAGGACTCTAACGCTGGTCATTTATATAAAAAACATACTTGATTGGATGAGAGTGTTTTGAGAAAGTTAGTACTGTTTCTTATATGTGCATGATATATGCAATAATTCTTGTCTGAATTCAGTTCATTTAGAATAAAATACATTGAAACCAGCTGAATTCAGTCTCATGAATCCCCATTTTCAGTTTTACTGTAAAAGATRTTTCCACTTTTCAGGTTTCTCCTCTAAACGAAGCATTTTTTAAAACGTGTAAAATTCTGTTTTTCTGTGTTTAATCGTGTGATTTGTCAGGTATTATCACATACATACATCAGTACATATTTTAAACTTAATAKGAAGTTGTTTTAGTTAATTCACAGATTGACATCTTCAAGAAACAAAGTTGGGAAAGATACAAACCCACAGATTTTAATCCCTATTTTTTAACTATTTGTTTTTCTTCTGAACATCAGTGAAATCTATGGTTTTGTAAAAAGATGTGATCCAAAATCAGCTGCATTTTTCTGCACCTTTTTATTTTCCTGATGCCTTTTTTTTTCAATAAGAGTAACAGGTTTTGTTGCCAAAAATTTAAGGTAACGTTCTTGTTTATGAAAGGGACAAACTTGAGTTTTGAAACTGTTTTGACAGAAGGTGGTGAAATGTGTTTGATCCAGACAGTCTGTAGTTCAGACAAAGTATTAATTTCTCCTTCTGTGTTCTGCTGTGTTTAATTCCATGCCTACAAGATGTGTGATTGCTTTTTATAGCATTATTCTGCCCTTGCAGCCTAAGGTCATTCCCAGTGCAATATGTGGCATTTGCCTGAAGAGTAAAGAGGCCAACAGGAGAGGCAAGCCGGAGGCTCTCATTCACTGCTCCCAGTGTGAGAACAGCGGTGAGTCTGCATGCTTTTTACAACACTTGGTGTAAATACTCATTAAAATTTAAACAAGTGAAATTATACTTATGTTTAGGTTGTAGAAAGGTACATTAAGCAGAAACATTTGATTTTTTTTCACTTTAAATTATTTTTCACTTTAAAGCTTAGTATTATTGTTGGTAATTATTGTTTCAAATACTGCAGAGGATGATTGTAGATAATTATTTTTTTAAATTGCTGATGGAAAAATAACAGTATAATTTGTCTTTTTTGGATCTCCTCTAAAAGTTCATGCAAACTTCACAATGTTTGTGTCTCCTCTGTGTTTATATGTGAGCTTAATGTGTATATATTTGTTGTTGTTGTTGTTGTGTTTCCTTCTCTTACGCTCCCCAACACACGCGTGTTCATGTTTATAAACTTCAGGCCACCCGTCCTGCTTGGACATGAGCGCGGAGCTGGTGTGTGTGATCCAGACGTACCGCTGGCAGTGCATGGAGTGTAAGACCTGCACCGTGTGCCAGCAGCCCCACCACGAGGACGAGATGATGTTCTGTGACAARTGTGACCGCGGGTACCACACGTTCTGCGTCGGAATGAGCTCCATACCCACAGGTGAGGTGATGCACTGGATTCTGGTGCACTAAAAAAATAAATGTGTGAAGGTATTTTTATATATTCTGTTGGGGTCATATTTTTCAATCTGTCAAAAGTATTTGTGACTGAACTGCCAAATAAGATCTGGAATTACCAACTATAATTTCATCGTTTTCATTCTCCTCTCCCTCTGGGTCAGGCCCCAACGTGTAAATAACAGCTTTCTGTGCTGCTATGTTATTGTAAAGCCCTCTATCAGACTAGAATGGACCGGTCTGGAAGCTGGAGGTGGGCGTGACATCAAGCGCGTTGTTCAGATTTAAAGAGACAGCATCAAAACGAGTTGATCTGAGACGCATTTCAGAAAAGGGGTGAAAGAGGGGCTTGTGGAGCTACAGTAAGGAGGAATTCAAACCTAAGCATTGCAGTTACACTGTATATAGACTCCAACTGAATGATGTAGGTGTGGAAAAAGAAGGATTCAGAAAATGACATATCTCCTTTATGTGTGTGTTTTAGTATAATTTCCTTGTAAGGCTGGTTTTTCCTAAATATAAAACTTTGTAGGGACCCCCTCCTCCTTATTGGGTCCAAAATGCTGTTTTGGGGTTAGGGGTTAGGCTATAGAAATGTATGAAAAATGAATGGAAGTCAATGCAAAGTCCCCATGAAGATAGAAATGTGACGTTCACGTGTGTGTGTGTGTGTGTGTGTGTGTGTGTGCATTCGTCAGAGTGTTTTATCTGCAAAATAAAACACCTGAGTGAATGTTCCTCACTTGGCAGCTACACATCACAGGGGGAGGGAGAAAACCAGATTTGCTTTTATTATTTTGCGATATTTCTTTGTGTACTTAACCGTATTTTTCATATTTTTATTTTGTATTTATAATGAAGAACTGATTGTGTCTCCTCAGGTCATTGGATATGTGAAGTTTGTGACAAAGACTTTACCACACCGAAGAAGAAAGGAGCAGTCAAAACACCTAAGAAATCAAAGTCAGCCCAAAAATAAAGAACTCAACAATCATAAGTCATAAAATCTACGAATGCACTGTCAATAATTTGTTCTAATATATCAGAGAATTTTTTTGTCTTAGTATAACCTTCAAATGCCCAAATTATCAAGAAAACCAAAAAGGTGAAATTGTTAAAAGTAAAACAAACAATAACTTAAGTTTAATTCCTTTGTTATATTTTACATGTGTTTGTAATTAACAGATAAAATGTTGTGTGTGGTATCCACTGTCTCTGTCGACATCTGATGTTTGACAAATGTCGATGACATCGGGCGTTAACGATGTCTGACCTCAGTCAGAATCAGAACTTACCTCCAGGAAATGAGACGCGTCGTTTCGCTCGTAACATTTGTGCAGCTATAAACCGTGTTAAAATAATTTCAGTGAAACTAATGGTGCTTTTTGTCCTGTACCACTGGAACATTCAAGATTTTTGAGGACATTTCAACAACAGCTGCTCTTTTTGTTTTTGTATTTTATTATGTCTACTTTATGTTTTTATGAGTTTTTATTTTTTAAAGGTAGGGACAGTGGTGGGCATTTTGCTTTTAACAAATGCTGTTTAGTCACTCCTGTGACTGATGGTTGGAGTTTTCAGGTTTGTGTCTCAGCTCTGCTCTGCTTTTGTCGTACTAAAAGAAAACCACTTTTATTTACACTAAAATTGTGTGAAATTTAGCAGTCATGTTATTTTTTTATTGTGTTTTGCATTAATTATTGATAATAACTTGGTTATTTGAGAGATGTGTTTTTTTTAGTAATTGATTTTGTTTTTTGGAATAAAAACCACTTTAAAAGGGTAAAAAGAAGCAGTTTATTTTTATATTTGTTCAATTTACTGCATCAGACTTAGCAGTAGCATAAAACTTGATACTGCTGTTTGAAATTAAGAGTCTCAAAATTCTTATTTGTTCAATTTAATRTCTAGACAAATAATGCCTACTAATTCTGTAAATTATAGTTAAAATTATCCAGATATGACTTTGTCATTGCTAAATTAGCAATACTTAAAATGTCTCAGTGGTATTCTGTTTTATTTTATTTTAGATTGTGTATGCTTGTTAAACCTAAGAATACAGTATGATACTTTGGTCTTGTTTCTAATTTGGTGAAAATATTAACACATTGAATTAATGACATTTTATTACAAAAAAGGAACATTTTTGGTTGACTGAATAATTTTTGTGAGTTGCTAAGCTTTATTAATAAAGTCCTATCATGCAAAATATTTGGCTAACTGAAGTTTTATGCAGTCGTGTGCAGAAACTTTCTCATTTAAATTCAATTCAAACGTACAGTTTGACAAAGATTTTTGTTCAATTACAGTTTTTTTTAAATAGGGAACTAACTTTCTTATTAAAGTTGGACAAGCTCTTCAAAGCAGATATCCGTATTTCCTGTTAATAATTATTATTTTAGTTATCAGGACAGCTATTCATTTTATTCACAATCAGTATATTCTCAAATTTGGGCTCCAAATATCCACTAGTAATCTCATATCGATTTAAATCAAACTATCTGAAATAGAATTCATACTTAAAGAAACTTGTATTACTCTGCCAGTGTTACTAGTCACATTTTAGATGTCAAACACACATGTCAACATACATCAACAACCTGTTTGTTCGTCATTTTATTTGATTGTTTTCAGGAAATTATCTAAAGATAATCACAACAAAAAGGTGTTTTAGCGGTCATAGCTACAGACATATAGACCAATTACAAAATGCATGTAAAAAAAATAAATAGAAAGGAAAGGTAAGGTACAGTATTGGCTTGCATTGTCACATGTTGTTCATGTGTTTTACATCAGACCCTCGCTGGGGGCGCTGTTTCACAAGAAGCTCCTGAATCAACGCCGCTAATCACGGTAGAGGAAGAGGCTACCATATTGCAGTGATACAGCGAGTTTGTTCGATTTTCTGTTTTGTCAGCCYTTGTGTTTCAATAATGCTTTCAGCTCAGAGTTTTGGAGATCCTGGGAAAATGAAAGACTATCATTACACGGGTCCAGTAGAGCACAGGTTTTCACCGTACGCCTTCAACGGAGGGTCAGTTGTAACTTTTAAATTGCTGCTTATTTAGCCTTGAAGCTAACGTTAGCAAACCATAAGCTATCAAAAAAAAAAAAAAGCTCTTAAAGCATATAGAAAATGTACTATATGGAGATTTTTTTGAAACATAAGAACTTTGATACTTTAATTTTTATATTTTAAGTCCAACACTAGTACAAAATGTATGAAGGTAACAGTTTCAGTTTCGTATTTGCTTCCGCTAGCAGTTTGTGTTTACCGATGCTACGATGTTTCACCAGTTTACAGAACTAACTTGTGATTTTTAACYCTCAGGACTGTACTAGCTGTTGCTGGGGACGATTTTGCCATTGTAGCATCAGATACCAGGCTGAGTGAAGGCTACTCAATCCACAGCCGGGACTCCCCTAAATGCTACAAGCTGTAAGTGCAAAGTCACTTTTCAGGAAGGATAATGATGAAAAGCAGTTTATTAGTTATTGGCTATTATTTGGTCTAACTCTGTGCATCCACCACTCCATCAGAACAGTGTTGTAAACAKTTAWTTAATCTTTAAGCTATCTGTTGTGTCAGTAAGCATTGTGGCTGAAAGTTGGGAATCAACACATCAATGTATTAATCTTAGAGTTAAAGTCATCATTTCTGATCTTTGTGTTTCACTTTCCTTACAGGACAGACACAACTGTCCTCGGCTGCAGTGGTTTTCATGGTGACTGTCTAACGCTGACAAAAATCATTGATGCTAGACTGAAGGTAAGCTGTTTTTTGTTTCACTATGCTTCATGATAGAAATTTAATCTGGTACTCCCTGTTGTCCTCACACTTCATTTAAAAAAATGAGGCATGCAGGATAAAAACATCTTTGAAGAATTTTACATATTCATCCCTGCTACACAAATCTTAAACTATATTGAACTAAATTCAGGATTTAAAGACTTTAAAGTTACATATTTGCCAATTAGCTGTAGCCAAAAAAATTGTTTTATGAAACTGTTTTATGTTAGCCACAGATCTCGCGTCACTGTCTACTATATGACATTTAAATGAATATTCTCTCTTCTCTCAGATGTACAAGCACTCGAACAACAAGACTATGACCAGTGGAGCCATAGCAGCCATGCTGTCTACCATCTTGTACAGCCGGAGGTTCTTCCCATATTATGTCTACAACATAATTGGTGGACTAGATGAAGAGGGTTAGTACTATTATATTAAAATAGTAAATATTGTATTTCAGTTACGTTACTTTTACATTTTGGTTGAGGTGTATGTTTTGTCTTAAGCAAACATTTAAATGTTTTTGTAATTCTTTTGAAATGTGGTCCTGAATGTGTTCAATTTAGGCAAAGGAGCCGTGTACAGCTTTGACCCAGTGGGCTCCTACCAGAGAGACACCTACAAGGCTGGAGGATCTGCCAGCGCCATGCTGCAACCATTACTAGACAACCAGGTAGACATCGAACACACTTACTCCCCTCACTGTGGAGAAGTGGGCGCAGTCTGACTCTTTCCAAAATGTCCTCTCACAGATTGGTTTCAAGAACATGGAAGGAGTGCAGCAAGTTCCTCTGACTCAGGAAAAGGCAGTTCAGTTGGTCAAAGATGTCTTCATCTCYGCCGCAGAGAGAGATGTCTACACCGGAGATGCCCTTCGGATCTGCGTCATCACWAAAGAAGGCCTTAACGAGCAGACTATACCACTGAGGAAGGACTGAAGAAGGAAAATGTTTCTAACATTCATGGGTTTTCTCTTTGGTTCCTCCGTTCAACCTTCACTCTGCTGATTTCCCTTCTTTTCCACCAGGTTTCTCAGCATAGGGGTGTTGATCCTGAGGCTTTACTCAAGTTTAAATCGGGTTTTTTTTCCTGCGCTCAAAGCGTCCTAGTTCAAAAGATCTCTCAACCTTAGATCAACRTTCTTATTCTGAGAAGTGGGCTCATTACCTTCCATTACCTTGACTCTGCCTCTGGGTTTGTTCATTAGATGTTGCAGAGATTTGTGCTCAGCTTTTCTTTTTACATTCTTAATAAATGTAAACAATTAAAAAAAAGAAGTTGTATTTTTCTTCACTACTTGTGTCTGCATTGAGAGCTGCTTCTCATGAGATTTTTTTGAACRATGAACAAGACTTCAAACTTATGAATATGGCTTATTATAAAGGTTTGCAGTATAGTAAAAATGCTTTGGTTAGAATAATACAACTAGTTTGATAGAACTTAGTCCCAACTTTTTTTTACTTGACTATTTTTTGCATAGCTGATCTTTTGAAATCAGTGTAGCAAAGGACATCAAATTCCATTTTTACATTTCAGATCATTTATATTCCTTAACTGAAGATTTAACAATTGTTTAATTGAAATACATATTTAAAAACTAAGAACTTGAGCACTTAAATCTATATATGGAAGACCATTTAAATTTAATTGTATAGAGAGGTGCATGTCTACTTGGTAACTTAAGTATGCACAGGCTTTTTTAACGTGCAAATGTTGGTCAACCTCAAATTAAAACGGTCCAATTTAAATTATCAATCTTTATCATTCTAGATTAGAATATCTGGGAAGCATTTCCTCACAGAGCATTTTGTGTTTTCGAAGAGAAAAGTTTTAATTCAGAATTCATTTCACTTTGAATTCTGATACTTTATCAATTACCACTCCTATCTGGAGCCAAACTCTAAGAAAACAAGTTTTAGAAACTTTAAAAAGGGACTTCAAAATCTCACTCTAGCTTTGAGGAAAAAGTATTAAATTATTCTACTGTTGTGCGTTTCAAGCACAAGATTACAATGATAGCAAAAAATAAAGTGAGGAAACAAAGATTTCATAAATTTCCACAAAGGAATTTGTGAAGAACAGTATTTAAACCCAGTCTGATTAGTTGAAGAAAATAAAACACTTAGCTTTCCCTCTTTTTATTAACCCAAATGAATCAGCATTAATAACAAGTGTTTACATAACTGATGAAGAAAAAACTGTTGTACACTCAGACATTCTTTAAGCATAGTACTGAAGGTTCGCCTTCTTCTTGGCCTGGACCTCCAGGATTCCCTCCATGTAATCCTCATGGTTCAGCTCTGTGGCTCCACGACGCAGCGCGATCATACCGGCCTCCACGCACACGGCCTTGCACTGGGCTCCGTTGAAGTCGTCGGTGCAGCGGGCCAGCTCCTCGTAGTTGACGTCGGGACTGACGTTCATCTTGCGGGAGTGAATCTGCATGATGCGAGCTCTCGCCTCTTCGTTGGGCATGGGGAACTCGATCTTCCTGTCCAGACGTCCTGAGCGAAGCAGGGCSGGGTCCAGGATGTCCACTCTGTTCGTGGCAGCAATGACCTGAAAAATATAAACAATACAACTAGGGTCAAATCTGAGGTAGTGAATGTTTTTTGTTTGTATTAATAAACTTGAAGTCTTGGCATGCTTACTTTGACCTGCATGTTGGGCTGAAAGCCATCCAGCTGGTTGAGCAGCTCCAGCATGGTCCTCTGCACCTCTCTGTCTCCAGCCTTCTCACTGTCAAACCTCTTGGTGCCGATGGCGTCCAGCTCATCAATGAAAATGATAGACGGGGCTTTCTCCTTGGCCAGGGCGAAGGCRTCCCTAACCAGCTTGGCTCCGTCACCGATGAACATCTGGACCAGCTGTGGACCAGCCAGCTTCAGGAAAGTGGCCTTGGTCTGAGCAGCGCAGGCCCTGGCCAGGAGGGTCTTTCCTGTACCAGGTGGTCCATACATCAGGACCCCCTTGGGTGGCTGGATGCCCAGGTTTTCAAACTTCTCTTTGTGGTTCATAGGCAAGACTATAGCCTCCACCAACTCTTGGATTTGCTTATCAAGACCTCCTATGTCACTGTACTGCTCTGTGGGGCGCTCATCCACTTCCATGGCTTTGACTCTGGAGTCGTACTCGGTGGGCAGGGTCTCCAGGATCAGGTAGGAGTCTTTGTTGACTCCAACCAGGTCTCCGGGCTTCAGCTTCTCCGCGTCCACCAGCCCGATCACCGGCAGGAAGTAGGTCTGTCTTGTGGAGGTTTTAATGACGGCGCACTTTCCTTTTCTCTGGGAGTCCAGATCCACGTTGGCCCCGTCCTCCTCCTGGTCGTTGGGGTCCACATCCAACAGTTCGATGACGTTGGAAACCAGGTACGGCAGCGTYTTGTTCACTTTGATCTTCTCCGTGTTTTCTTTGATTTTCTCCTTCATGGCCTGCAGCTCGTGGGTCACGCGCAGCACCTCGCTCTTCATGATCTTTATCTCGCTGTCGAGGAGACGAGTCCGCTGGACTATCTCCTCTGTGGACATTTTTAACACTTCTTCGCCGATGCCATCCTCCACTTCGTCCCAAACTGATTTGTCACTCAGCGACGCCATCTTTGCTCTGTGTTCGGTCTGCGCCGCTTCCGTTGACCTGTGACGCGGCGGAAGTTAAAGCTTCCTCTTCCGGTTAGCGCCGAAGAGCAGCCTGGGATGAAACGGATCGAGTTGAGGCGAAATAATTAAGTTTGACGACTCAAAACCGCTTTAAATTGCAAAGGTTTGTGGTGAGTTGCCTAAGCATTGTATTGCTTTAAGTTACGGTGTTCTAAGTTATTTGCAGCGTTTTATAAAGTTGCTTGTTTTACAGCTGAAAACCCGTTTATCGGCATTTCTGCTAATTTCTGCTAGCTAGTCGTGTTTTATATATTTTATTTATGTAAACTATAATATATGGATTAAAAGCTACTGACGAATTTTTAACTTTGTCACACATATTTGAGACTTGTTTTTAGTAAATATGACAGAATGCCCATGGATGATTAAAGTAAATTAATTACGAATTAATTGCGTTACGCTACTAATGTCAGTGTTGAAGCTAAAGARTTTGACATAAATCTTGTTTATGTTTACATGTTAGCAGGCACAGGAAGAGAAAGTAAGTAGGGATTAAAGAGCTAGAACTAAGATGGTGTTTGTTTTTGTTTTTTTGCAGAGTTCGATCCATTTGTTGGTCTTGTTCGTACCTTCATTGGTACACTTTACTGTGAGCGAGGTCGTCAGATTTATATTACTTCCTGCTCCTGGGTGGCAGTGCTGTGAGGAACTGAAGAGATGGATCAGAACAACAGTATACCACCCTTTCAGGGACTGGCATCCCCTCAGGTAACAGTCTTTTTGAATTACACGTTTTTTTGTTATACTTTCAGCAGATTAGCGGTGGTGATTCATGAGGTGGACATGCTTTTATTTTGAAGGCTAAACGCTTAGCACTGATGATAACTACAGGCCATCTTTATTTCCAATAGTACTATTTGGTAATATACAGTTTACAGAAATGCAAAAGGCATTTTTTGTGTGATTTCAAGTATAATTTATACACTCTAACATTATATTTTTGTCTGATGTGTTTCAATAAGGGTGCCATGACCCCTTTGCCAATGTTCAGTCCTATGATGCCCTATGGTTCGGGCCTGACACCCCAGCCAGTACAGAACACAAACAGTTTGTCTATACTTGAGGAACAGCAGAGGCAACAACAGCAGCAGCAGCAGCAACAAGCAGCAGCAGCAGCACAGCAGACCAACACAGGTAATACACATTATACAATTATTGGTCTCTGTGCTATTAGTTCTGAAATACTAATCTTAAAGTGTTATTTGTCTTTAGTTCTGTATGTAAATACCAATTATTATTTTTGACCTAGGCCTTCCAGGGTCATTGGGGCAGGCTCCTCAACTGTTTCATTCCCAGACAGTAACAGGTTCAACCATAACAGCGCTCCCAGGAAATACCCCGTTCTCTAACACCCCAGTGACCCCCATGACTCCCGTCACACCAGCTACACCAGCCTCAGAGAGCTCTGGGATTGTACCACAGTTACAGTATGTTTCACATCAAAGTACTACGGTAGTTAAAAATACCCTGAGCTTACGTAAAGTTACACCAGAGATTGTGTAATTTCTGTTTGTGAATGTTTTTTTTCTTTTCACTCCGAATTAACGTGGTTTTTGTGCAGCTGAAGAATATTTAGTCACCCAGGAGTTTGAATTTTACTGAACTGAATTATACATTATAATCACAAAGATATATATTATATGCATACATTATATATTGCATTTTGTTCAGTCCTTTAATCTCTTGTTTTCATTTACAATTAGAAACATAGTATCTACTGTAAATCTGGGCTGTAAACTGGATCTGAAGACAATCGCCCTGAGAGCCAGAAATGCAGAGTACAACCCAAAGGTACGATTACAATTACCTGCTCATCGTGTCATAAACATGATGTATTATCTCTGAAATACTCCTCTTTCTCTTGTTTTGTAGCGTTTTGCTGCTGTCATTATGAGAATACGAGAACCTAGGACCACTGCTCTCATCTTCAGTTCTGGGAAGATGGTCTGTACTGGAGCCAAAAGGTCAGAATTTAGTTTATTTTTCTAAAATGTCATATTACTCTGTAATCTGTTTATAGTACCATCTGCAAGCTCACAGCTGTTTATTTTTGTAAAATATTCTTGTTGGCTTTCTTCTCTACATCCCATTTCCCCTTATTTTCTATATCTCTGGGGGGCTCTAACCGATTCACACTTTCCAGTGAGGAGCAGTCGAGGTTAGCAGCTAGAAAATATGCACGTGTGGTGCAGAAGCTCGGGTTCCCCGCCAAGTTTCTGGACTTCAAGATTCAGAACATGGTGGGCAGCTGTGATGTGAAGTTCCCAATTCGACTGGAGGGGTTAGTCCTCACACATCAGCAGTTTAGCAGGTAAACTTTTACTTTTAGAACAGACCATCTGCAAAAAAAATCTTGAAATTATTGTCATTTAAAATGTACAGAATTTATTTTAGCTCTGTTTTTAATAAAATAACTTGTTTTGTAGTTATGAGCCCGAGCTGTTCCCAGGATTGATTTACAGGATGATCAAACCCAGAATTGTTCTCCTCATTTTTGTTTCTGGAAAAGTAGTACTTACAGGTAAGGCTTGTGGACTGTCAAAGTAGTTTATTTTTTATGTAATGTGCTTTTAATTAGGACTGCAAATTATTCAGATAATTACAAATGGAAAAGTTGTAAATTATTACCGATGAATATGTTTTTATGTATTTTTATAGGAGCCAAAGTAAGAGCTGAGATCTACGAAGCATTTGAAAACATTTACCCCATTCTGAAAGGATTTCGCAAAACAACGTAGAACCTGGAAATTCTTTCATACTTTCCCAACTTTTGTTTTTTTTTCTTWAAGCCTCTTATATCTTTTTTTAACTTTGAAGTACAATTAAATGTTAACCACCACAGTTGGACTGTTGCACAAGATTGTGACATTATCCCTTTTTTTCAGTTATTTGTTTTAAATGTGATTTTAGAGGTCATTTTTCAGATCACGTATAGGATTTTAAATTTACATGTTTTTTTTTTTTTGTTTTTTCTCCATCACAGACATAATTGTACATAAGACTGTAAGAAAATGTAAAATATTGATGAGAAGAAAAGCAGTTTAAATTAGATCGTTCCGCTCTATTTGAAACTGTTTTTAATACTTTTGTACAGTGTTTTTTGTATTTTTTTTTTCATTTTAACATCGTTTTATTGACACGCTTAAATTCGCCAAACTTTTAACTTCCTAATCATTTATGCCCTTAAATTAATCTACGTATTACAGAAAAAGATTTAATCAGGTTGTTTGCTTCTCCAGAGTTTTATTTACCTTTTTAATTTGGGTATATTACAGACATTAATATGTTACAGATTAGAGTTGGTTTAACAAACTTTCTATTGAAAGAAAAGGTCTGTTTTAATTACAGAGAAGTATTTAATGGTTAAACTTGAGCGTGTACATATATTTTTCTATTTTAATTGTGAAGAAGTGACTCTGACCGAAAACTAAACACAAGTTAAAACTTTTGAACCACCTAGATTTCTGTCATGTAGAGCAACCAGAATAAAAAAAAAGCTATGCCTGTTTTATTTACATTTTATATCAAGCACTCAGTGGCAGTATGTTGGCAGAAAATGTTTAATTTTTTTAAAGTTTATATAAATTTGGTCCATTTCAAATTTTGTATGAGTGTTGGTTGTTGTAGCTTTTTCTGGTTGTCTTTTTATTTGGACAATTATTTTAAAGTGAATGTGCACTGAGCACTTGTGTGTTAAACACAACCAGCCTCTCTGACGACCATCTWAATATTTTGCAGTCAACCAGTTCACTGTTTCGTACAAAGTGCATTTGGGTGACGTGAATTCAGTTGGTGTCTGTTTCAGCTGACTTTAGTTCTGTCGATTCATAAAGCTTCTTGTATGAAACTCTTCTGAAACTGTTCATKTGCTGCCCAGTGCATTAATAAATCTGTACATACTGACGTAATGTCTGTTTTAATGTTTTATTCTTTTTTTTCTCCAAATCTATTCTGAATTCAGCTGTTTTGAATGTAATTTTGTTTAGTAAAGAGGTCTCATCGAAGTTATTCTTACAATTTGGGCTGTAAGGCTCTGGTTTAGTTATATTTGTGAAAGTTTTTTTTTTATCTTACTCTTTTTCAGATATGGGCTGCTTGATAGAAATGAGATAAATTCTGAGTAAATGCGTTGCCCTCATTCTGCTTTTCAATAGGATGTGCTTCCAACTTTGCAGGAAGTTTTTTATTTTTCAACATACCTGTGTCACTGCACAACTATAAAGGTTTGAGTTCAGTGTGGAAGAACTGAAGTGGCCCACACAGTCCTGACCTCAACCCTTATCCAACGCCGGTGCCATCAGACCGTATCAATGCTCTACAGAATTGGCACAAATTTCCACAGAAACTAAAATCTTGTAGAAAGCCTTTCAAGAATAGTGGAACCTGTTATACAGGTTCTTGTTATAAAGTTAGAATATCATGAAAAAGTTGATTTATTTCAATAATTCCATTCGAAAAGTGAAACTTGTWTATTATATTCATTTGTTACACACAGACTKCTTATATTTCAAATGTTTATTTTGAAGATTATAACTGACAACTAATGAAAATCCCAAACTCAGTATCTCAAAATTAGGATATTAAGACCAACACACAAATTTTTTTTTTTCAAAATGTTGGCCGACAAAATTATGAGCATGTACAAACTCAATACCTAGTTGGGGCTCCTTTTGCCTGGATTATTTGCAATGCGGCGTGGCATGGAGTCCATCAGTCTGGCACTGCTCAGGTGTTATGAGAGCCCAGGTTGCTCTGATAGTGGCCTTCAGCTCTTCTGAATTGAGTCTGGTGTATAACATGCCCCTCTTATTCTMAATTCCTAGTATAAAGAAAAAAAGCTGTCCTATGTACTAAAGTAGAAGAAAAATTCTTATTAAACAATATTTTGTGAATCTCTAAAGTTTTAGACAAGTCACTCATGTTATTAAATATATTTATATAACTGAAATCGGGTTAAAGRCTTAATATTTGCCATATAAATTACCTGAATGTTCACAGAAAAAAAGAACACAATCCAGGAGTGTGTAAATTAAATGTAGACCAATATATTATATGTTTAGAATAAAAAAATAAGATGAGTCTTCCCTCTGCAGGACAAGATGAATGTTTCTCTGTGGACATGGTTTCCTGATGGGTTCACGAAGAATACATGAAGCCATTTCTTTCGGCAGCAGCTCATTTCAGCTAAACTACGATCTCTGCTAAATAAAGAGCTCATTTATGTGTTTTTGTCTGCATGTGCTGATCTGAGCTGAAGTCCTGCTTCCAGATGAACTCCTGGCAGTACTGGTCATCACGGTGACAGCTGTCAGAGCAGGTGTAAACAGCCAGAGTCCCCCAGTCGACGCTAGCGCCCGTCGAGTCTACGCACAGGCTGTTTAACAGCTGAGGCATCACCTGCAGACACAAACTCGTGATCAGAACATGTTTTACTCTTAAGCAACATATCTATTAACATATCGATCCATACTGATAAAGTAAAACAAGTTAAAATACTGTTGCAACCTGAAACTCRAACGTCCGCTTGGTGCCACAGGTGCATGGTGGGATATCCTGGTCTGAAGGGATGTGATGAGAGGAAACCCACAGAGCACAGCCTCCTCGACTGTAACGAATCACCTGGATGAGATGACACGAAGTCAAAAACAGATAAAATCTGTGTGAATTTTCTCAAACCCCCCCMCACACACACACATCCTTGCATTTGCGTCAAACTGAGTACATTGTATTGACTTCCATTCATTTTTGTAACTGTATTTATGCCTAACCCAGACATTTTCCCTGAAACTAACTGTCGTGGAAAATCTTTATTTTACCTAGACATGAACACGAGATCCGAGAACAAAAAGTACTCCGTGAAAGGTCAATCAGGATTTATTGCAATATGCAAGAAACACATCATGTCACACAGGGCAGTGGTACAAAATGTGTGCACCAAGGCAGTTTCAAATACATGCATTTATACAGAATATTATCAAGACAGACRATAAACATCTCACTTGGTGCTAAAACTGGGCCAAGGAGAGAATGATGTTGGATAAACAGCAACAAGAATGATTACTTCTAACAGATATTGTCTTGATCTTAAAACACTTTGTGTGAGAGAAAACAGGATAAAGAGTAAAATCATAAAACATGATGACATTTTAAAGCAAGCAAAAGAGGTCACCGACTCTTGGCCTGAGAAGAAATGTAAGACTTTAAAGGATCATTTATTTTTCCAGGACACTAACCCTTACTGGTCTATAGTTAACCCTACCCTGAACCAAAACTTAATTCACACCATACATCTAAACCTAACTAGTAAAGCACAGCAGAGCTGCAAACAAATGAGGACACTGAAGCGGTCCTCGCTTTACATCAAAGACCTCACTTTGATAGTAACTATGGCACAAATGGTCCTCACACTGTGGTCAAAAACAAGTCGACACACACACCTGATGTGGCTCTGAGGCGATCCTCTTCTTGAACCGCTGGAAAACTTTGTTGTCTTCAGTCTCRTGCATCGCCATCTCCTCCAGGTCCGCCTCTGCCAGAGCTGATGGGCAACAGATGATTAAAGAACTGTGTTGAGCTACTAAAAACACACGTTTATAATGTGAATAAAATCACCCCGAGCATTTTAAATGTTGTAAATCATCAACTTACTGTCTGCTAATGGAGCAGCAACACTCTTCTGGAGGCAGCCCTCTTCTTCCTCAGCCTCTGCATCTTCCTGCTCCTCCTCCTCAGGTTCAGTAACAAGCTCCATTTCAGGAAAAAGAAGAGGTGACGGTGTGACGATAGAGGCCTCTAGATGTAGAGAAAGACACACCAGCAGATTAAAAAAAATAGCTTCTTGCTCCGAGTCCTGACAGACTGTGACTCTGAGCTGCAGCTGGATCCAGCTGTACCTGGACTGCAGCACTCCCTCTTGTGAGAGTGTTTCCAGTGGACGGTCTGGTGCTGTTTCCCACAGTAGGTTATGGCGTGACAGCGGGAGCAAGCCTTGCTGCCCGGGCAGCCACACACCCAACACAGTTTAACCCCGGAGACAGGTAACACACTATGGTCGTCCTCTGGATCGCCTTGGGGTTCATCTACTAAGCATAAAACCCCACAAAAAGGAAACAAACAYGGTGATACTAACACCCTGGTTTTTACAAGATTAAAAAGGTCATTTGGTTGGACAGCGRTGTGTAATATCTCCAACATATGACCCTAAAAAATGACGGTGAAAGCAAATCATTATGCAATATTAAAAGGCACCCTTTATAATCAAAGCAACTTCATGTACTTCACTGTTTTTACACAGCTGCATATATTGGCTACTTAAATATTTAATTCATGATYAATTAAAGAAATAAGAAATATGGTAAAGACATAAGGACAAACCTGGAGGAGGCTCGTAGGGGTAGAAATCATTCTTTCTGGGCAGCTGACTCCTGAACACTGGTGTGAAAGACAAAAACRATCAGAAGATTGGGAAAATTGTAGTTTAATAGGTGATACAGTTAAGATTRAGTTAGAGAAGCAAAAAGACTGTAGGCACCTTTTACGCAGCGGTTGTCATTTCGTGAATAGCACTCAGGAGTTCTGCAGCAGAACAGAAACAGGGTTCTGTGAAAACTTCTGTCCTGACCCGATATTGGAGCATACACCTGCAGCACAATTACACAGTGGTTTCTAAAGAGGAAAGCTATAATCACCACGTAAATAAATAAAAATAAAACGTTATCTTGCAGGAAAAAAATGTTTAAATGTTGCACAAAATTGTTACAGCTCTTTCTTGTAAAGGAGACCATTTGCTACAATGATATGGCCTGTCTAAATGTATGAGTAGAACAGACATGCAACTGGAGCGCTTTATTTTGAATTAATAGGTGTTCTTTATAAACTATATAAATTTATAAACTATATATCCCTTCTCCAGGACACCAACCTGCAGCAGGAAGCCCATCGGCAGCTGGCAGACTTCACACTGCAGAGCGGACCCGGAGGGTAGGCCTGTCCGGCTGAGCCACGCCGGCCTCCCGCCGACTTTACTGGGGAACTGTGAGGCCCGAAGCCGCCACGGCTCCGCCTCTTCAAGGAAACCCAAAACTACCTCCGCCGAAGACATGACAGTGTTTTTAAATCAAAACTTTGTGAACAACCAGCCCTTCTGACAGACTGGAACTAACAAAACAAGCGCAACACATGCTAGTACAGCTGCGCGAATCGTCCGTACGGAAACACCAGCCGCAGTTGTTGGTTCCGCAGTTCATTAAATACTCAGTAGAAGTAGAAACTCGCGTTAATGAATTCATCTGATGTATGGCTTTTTTCTTTTTTTTAAAAAAACTGCATATCTTGTGTTAAAAATTTAGATYCAAATCTTTATGATGAAACGTCATGTGTTTAATTGATTATGTCCACTAGATGGCGCAAATATTTCGTTTAAGAAGATAAAAAAGACGTGCAGTTAAACAAACGCCCACTTTAATCACTGGAGACGAAAAAAAAAAAGTCAACTCAGATGTATGATGAATAATAACAGCGCCGGGAAGTACCTAAACAACTCAAATGCTTTAATTTTCTATTGATCTAACTAGATTATGTGCGTGCTCATAAATAAATTTGACTTGACTGTGACTTGTATTTTACTGGAATACATAAATGTTTAACACATTCAATTACTGTATACTTTCCTGCATGTAATTTATTTGTAAGATGAAGTCATACTTACATGTTTCTTTATAACATATAAAATAAATGACCATGAACTAGTAAAGTATTAATAATTTTAAGTAGGCTAAATCCAGAACATAATGCAATATGATTTGCAAATGTGTTGAGTTCCCTTACATTTAAGTACGTTTTGTTGTGAAAGAAAAAAAAATACAGCAAATTGGATAAAGGAACAACAACGACAAAGTGAACAAACTGAAAAACCTTTTGTCAATGAACAAAAATCTGAAACTTTCTTTCTTTCTTTCTTTCTTTCTTTGCAAGGACTTAGCTAATAATTTTCTGGTGCTTTTTTGTGCAATCTTTGATATACAGTATGTTATGGTTAAATAAATTGTATTTTCAAACCAATGTGCTAGAAACAAAACAAAAAAATCTTGAATTGCAATTAAATAACAGGTAATTAAAACTTAATTCACATCACTAAATCTAACTAGTAAAGTGCAGCAGAGCTTTGATTAACATTAAAGACCTAGTAACTGTTTTGCAAGTGGTCCTCACTCTGTAGCAGAAACAAGTGCTCTGTGTAACACACACACACACAC